GCCATGGCAAAACAGCAAATGCTATAACGTCTGATCAGTCCACACTCTCATGTAAAAAGGGTTATCATTGCATCTCTTTTAAAAAGCTAAAGTAGGCCTATAGTTTGAAACAAGTATACTTGTTGTACAGTGTAAATACGTTCAGACAAACAGACGGATAGACAGACAGACAGACAGACAGACTGACAGACAGACAGACAGACACACAGACAGACAGACAGACAGAAAAAAAGTTCTTACCACGGCATCCAACTTCGTTGGCTACTTTCTTCCTTTCAGTCGATATCATGGCCCTGTTGCAGTAGTTTTGATCTGCTTTGTCATAAAAACATCTTTTTTTCAACTGCGTGTATTGATGCCTCCGACTCCATTGTAGTCAAAATGCAGCAATTCACTATGTTTACACCCTACATGCACTACACAATCACGCCACAACAGTTCAGCCGCAGAGCAGACGCTCGAAATTTTATTTCAGCAGCAAGTGCACACGCTGAACCTTTTCTGCTCCGTCCAGCGCTGCGTCTGCTCCGCGCCCACTGTAGCGCCGTGCATTCAATCCTTAGTTGATAAAATTTGGCGATGCGACTTTTTCGGAGAAAGACGTCGCAACCGAAAAAGAAGCGTCGGAGAAGCGTGCACTGTGTTTGAGGCCTAACGACTCCAAAATACAGTCGAACCTGCCATGACGGCCACTTTCCACCCCCCCCCCCCCAATGCGTTTTTCCTATATAATTTAACAGTGTAAAACGGTCACCCATCCAACGCGGCCGCAGCCACCTTATTTAATCAACCCACGGTCAAATTTACCTGCCCCAGGCGGCCAGGCGTGATCACTCATTGTCCGATGCTTTGTCATAAATTTTGAATCGGCCCCTCACGCTGTGGACAGGCCGTCATAAATCATAATTCATTCACCTGTTATTGTTAATTGTAAGTCCCTCCAAATAATGTTTACCCAAGTTGACTAATGGGTAGGCCTAACAATTTCAACTGCTGGCGAGGGAATCGTGACCCGTCATAGCCTATAAGCCCAGCCCACAACTCATGCACAAATCGTGTGTGAGGTGACTAGTCACGTTTTGTTTACCTAATCTGTAACAAAGTGACTTTGGACGTTGACGTGAACTTGTGACAGAAGCGTCGCTCGTTCTCCGAGTGGTGGCGACCTGTGTGTTTGTTTTACCATGGCACTCGGTCTTCATCTTCTTACTTACATAACGTTTTGTTTATTTTACCTAATCAAAAAAAAAATAAATCAACAAAACAACTCAAAAAACCTTTCTTACACCTTTCACTCCCGTTTTTCCCAAGGAAAACAAAAACCCTTTTGAATTAGCGTTACGGTAGTCCAAAACCTGAGACCAGCCACGGTTTGGACCTTGGAAAAGAATGATTTGCTTTCTTCAGTTTGATCAGTCCTGCCTAAGACGGCCACCTGTGTTAGAGCCGGGGTCCACAGCGTCAGCACTCACGCTTCATCACAAAGTACGTACGTTAACGTAGCGGGTACCCCGTGTCCACAGCGATCTCACACGGACGGTAATTTTTTTTTTGGCGCCAGACCTAGATCTAGAGAAATGGCGTTAATAAGGAAGAAGATTTTTTTTATGGTAGTGGTTGAAGAGGAGGTATAAGCAAGGTCACCACCTATTCCGGGTACATCCCATATGCAAAGAACGAGGCAAAACAGGAGAATTTAGAAATTCTTGCTGATAACGAAACATGCTTAGCATATTTTCGCATGACGAAGACAAGCTTCCAAAGCCTTTTGGAATTATGTGGACTACATCAAAAACAGAATACGAACTAGAGGAAGGCCATTCCACCAATTGAAAGGCTGACAGTTACACTGGTGTAAGATGTTGCTGCTGCTGCTTTTGTTGTTCTTTTTTTTTCCGCTGTTGTCATTGTAGTATATGTGCTACGTAAATGGTCTTTGCCGTATCCGTCATTTAAGTAAGAGCCCACTCTGTGCCTCCCAAAAAGTGTGTTCTTTTCAGGCACATTTGTTAACTTTGAAAAATGGGAGCAGAAATAAACAAATAACAAAACGACTATTGAAATTCAGAATAACAAATTCAATAATTAACAATGATGTAAACTTTATAGACTATTCTTAAATCAACATGTCAAACGAAGAAACAAAACAACCCCCCCCAAAAAAAATAAATAAAATAAAAATAAAAATAAAAATAAATAAATCAGTTTTTAGACTGAGAATACTGAGATCAAAGTCAAGTGGCATTAATTTAATTTTAAAGGTAAAAGTGGGCAAACAAAAGATAATCAACGAAATCAGTGTCGGTGAAGCCACAACACGTACGGAAAATGTTTGACATGCTATACGTCATACGTTTTTCACGTAAGCGTGAGGAAGCGTGTCGTCCGCAGTGGGCCCAGGTAATATAGAAATCAAAGGTTGAACGCTTCCATACGCACTTTGTGAGTACGTAAGCGTACGAAAGCGGAGTATGTGGACCGTGGCTCTTATACGGCCACTTTTCTCCATGACAATAGGTGGCCGTTTTACACAGCTTTGACAAATCTAACGATTTTGATAGAGCAGATAGAACATTTGGTTTCTGACTTCATGATCTTAGAAACTAAAAAAGGCCAAAAAATGTCAAATAGAACTTTGTAATTCCAAGGTAGCGACGTATCAAAACCCAGGTGATTCCAACCACCCATCAAAATTACCAGATCGCCCAATAGTGGGTGATATAGCCCAAGTTGGCAAGCACTGGGCTAAAGGCTAATAACTAATAAGGCAATTTTCTTTTTTTCTTTTGGTTAAAAATGTAAGTGTTTTTCACGCCGCCATCAACACAATTTACATCATTTGTAGGAGGCAGGCTTTTGACCCTGCCTGTCAAGGCTAATCCAAGCTGAGAGGGATACATCCCAGCAGAGCGACTGTGATGCTCAATAAAAATATTCTCCCAACTCAGGAATGGAATGCAGGTCCGTCGTCTGTTGCGTGAGACGCAAAACAGCAAATAGTTATAAAACAGATGCCGATCACCCACTACAGCGCAAGAGTCGATGCAAGGCACACAAAACAAAAGAAATTAGTAGAGAACTAAATTTGTTTTTTATTCCAACAACCATGGAAGAATCATACATAAAAAAACAGCAGCAGTTCACAATACAGCTCTGTTAGCATTCAAACATGACATCAAAAGTTACACGAATCAAATTTCCCACTAAATTTGGGTTTCTCCTATGCTGAGACTGCAGCAAGACAAAGAAAAAAAAAAAGATAAAAAGGCGAAGTCTCAGAAAATCTCTCACAGAAGTTATGGTGAACAACATGAAAGATAAAGGTGGATTTCAGAGGGGGGGGGGGGGGGGGGGGGGGGGGGG